TTCTTTTTCGATGCCACCATAACTATTCCCAACTTATGTCCTTGTGCCAAAGCGCGCTACACATTTTCTTCGCCCGAGCCAGCGCGACACATTCTCTTCTTCCCAAAGCGCGCTAAACAATTCAACCTCATCTGTATGCTGACTAGACTCACATTGACAGTACCTTTGAGCTGAACTGGCACAAAGATCTGGGAAACTCGTCTTGCAGTTGATGGATTGGGACGCAGTGAAGGCTACCTCTCCGTCGTGGGTTGTGCACATTCCGCACTCTTGGAGTGTTACTTGAGCTGAGTAGAATACAGTATTCTTGAGCTGTGAAAATGAACGTTGAGCGTCTACCTTGAAGGAGACTTCGAAGGTTGGCACGCGTGCATATTAGCGGAGCGCACGTCCGATGTTGGCCACGCTTCTCGAAATCACGCCTATGCAGCGCTCGCCTCAATCTTTCTTACGCGGCTTTTCATGCTCATGTAGAATGTAGTGTGCGGTTTCTGTCAAGCGCCCCCCTGAACGCTCAAAAGACGAAGAAAGATCGCTCAGAAACACGCTTCGCTCCCGCAATGCGACTGTCGATGCCGTCTTTCCGCACGTTACCTTCCGACTTTTTCCACGTGCTCCTCATCCTGTGTGTTTTGCCCCACATTTCTCACCTCCTCAGTCGCTGCACCTACTTCTTTCTGACGCACAGTCTTGGAATTTTGACGCTCCCAAGAACTCTGAAAACTCAAAAATGGCCGATAGCGAGACGCGCATGCCATCAAAAAGAACCAGCGTTTCGCACGGGACGTCAATTTTGACGGAAAAAGACCACCTTGAGCTTCGCGCTCCCTGAACTGACGTGGGAAAATAGTCTGAGCCCTCGTCCATACATCTGCTTCGTTCTCCAACTTTTGGCTGTTGCTCTTCCTTGATCTCAAAATTTTCCTCTGTCGTTGTTGGGTTTGGTCCTAATGCCGTCCTAGGTGAGTTGAAATCGGGTCAATGTGCTAGCTTATAGGGCTTGTGCAACGAGAAATTGGGGTTCCTGCCCGACCCATCCTCAGTCGGTGTACGAAGGAACAACATGGAGAGAGCGAAGCGGAAACATGGAGCAGAAGAGGCCAAGAAGTATGAGAAGGGTGGCGGAGAAGAAAAGGCAGTGCAAAGCGGACAAGGTACAAAGGAGAAAAATGGAGAAACGAGAGGGCGGAGGCGGCTGAATTGGTGTCTGAATTGAAAGTATTAGCAGCAAATGAGGAGAGAGTGTGCTACCAGGCGACCA